TATTACTATTATTATACTATTACATTATACCACTACATTGTACTATTATTATTAAAATTACTATTATCTACTATTATACTTATTGCTTCTCAACTTTTATTTGAGCATTTGATAGCGTCTTAACTATTGTTATGTGATAGTCTAAAATTGTGTCAAATTTTTTTCCAAATTTACATTCAAGTGAATTTAGAAAAATATGCAAATTTTACTCATTGAGTGAAGTGCTTTAAGCCGTGGGGTAAAGCTCCCCAGATCTCTATCCCATTATCAGCAGGTAATTCCAAAATATCGAGGAGACACCCCAATCAGGCTAAAAATCTTGTTTATGTAAAGCTCCTAATTTTCAGTAATCCTCTGATTCCCTCTGTGCCTCTGATTACATTGATAAGAAGAACGCTGATTGCAATATTAAAAGTTGAATTCACGTGTGTCGTATTCTGTTCGAGGCACAGGCAGTATCAGTAGATGTGAAGATTAAGAAATGGAAGTTGTTCCTCTTAGACAAATTCATTGATAATAAACCATTTATTTTTGACCATGATTTTTTTGTGCAAAAGACGAAACAAGGCAGATGTCGACAAGGATGCCAGCACGCAATACGGATGAAGTGCTAATATGCTGACTAAAGGTCTAAACGTCGCGATTAATAATTCGGAAAGTTGAGCTAATAGATCAAAGTGTTTGGCACGCCGGCCGATAGTGCGCCAACTCAAAGCACACATTTGAGCACAGCTTTTCATCTGACCGGTAGAATGAGCATCGACTGCAATTAAGAATGTAATTGGAATAGATTCAGTGCATAGAACAAATTTTCAAGCGTGTCCACTACTAAAACATCAAAATAAGACGGTAAAAATCAATATACTGCACATTAGACCTGATACAAACGGAGAAAAATGATTAAAAATTTAAATGGTCTCACTAGTCAATAAATATACAAAAAAGCATGGAATAAGTAACATTACCAGTAAATAAAAGGTGGCTTCCCGCCTTTTACTGAAAAAAATTAAAGAACTACTGTGCGTTACCGGCATAACTATCGGAAACGATGAAATCTACATTTCTCAGAGCTGCTAAACAGATGCGGTCGACCGGTGAATGATTTTCCACGTGATAAGAGGACAATCCTAAGCTCAACATCAGGACATTTTCTGCATAGCTCATGTGCCTTTTATATGGAATCAACAAGAACAACGAAAACAGTGGCTATACCATGTTTTGTCTATTAAAATGTAGTCACCTGTCAGGTTAGTCACGGTGAACTGCGATCGTGAAAAGTTTTTGTCATGCAGGACTATTTTTCCACTCGCCAACTCTGGTATGAACTAACCGCAAGAAAATACGAGGCCGGATATTTGACGTTAAAGACCAGGATCGTTGCGTCCGAAGATTGAAACCGACCTGATTACCACATACATGTACACATACCCCCAGGCATGCATACTTGCACTAATAATACCGCGTTCTAAATCACTTGGCATGGCATTGCTGTGTTTAAAGTCTAAATTTCAACCATCCAGATTTAGTTATCGGTAAAAACAATAACAAGAACAGAAGCAACTAAAATAACAATGGTCAACTATTTAATGAACCAGGCGAGTTTCAGATTAACAGCCAGGAGATAATCACAGCGAAAAACTCGTATATATCGCAAAATGTTGCTAAACATCAATGTATCACAACAGATGGAGTAATCTCTTCCATTCATTCATCGCGCATAAATCTATATAAAGTCACGATGGTAACGCACTGAAAATGACTCCCATGCTGACAATGAGAGGCAAGAACAACAATGACTAGCTAGTCGAATAAATTTACGAAACTTAATATGTTGCGATGTTAACTCACTACGGTAAGTGTAACCCCTGCAATCCCGCAAAAAAGTTTTTATTCATCCACTCTATTCAGCACGTTTGCTCCAT